CTCCTCCTCCTCCTCCTCCTCCTCCTCCTCCTCCTCCTCCTCGGTCTCCTCCTCCTCCTCCTCCTGCTGCTCCTCCTGCTGCTCCTCCTCCTCCTCCTCCTCCTCCTCCTCGTCCTCGTCCTCCTCCTCCTCCTCTTCTCCTCCTCCATCCCTTGTCCTGATGCATAACTGCTCTCTGTCGCACCCCGAGGCCAGTCGGCAGGCGGGCTGGGCGTTTCGCCTGAGGCTTCCTTACGATGTATGAGCCTCAAGCTTAAAAAATGGCAACAGTGTCATAGATGGAGGGCGGGCCGCTTCCAACATGTGGCTCTCGCCTTAGCGCTGCGCACATTCGTTTCAAACAGTTGTAAGAGCTTCACGGCTTTAGGGCGGGCCGTTTTCGACATTTGGCTCTCGCATTAAGCGCCGCGTACATCCTTCAGAACATGCAAAGAGTCTCACGGATCAAAGGCGGGCGGTTTTGAAAATTTGGCTCTCGCCTTGGCGCCGCGCAGATCCATGCAAATTCGCCGGCCCAACGGGCCAGAGGCGTGCTAAGATCTCCGGTAACTTGTTAACAATATTTCTAGTTCGCGCGCGCGGAGCGGCCCCTGGGGGCCCCCGGACGAAAAGTACCCCGGCAAGGTCCCGAGAGAAGCCCGGGAGAAGCCACCAGACCACTCCAGGGGAGGGTATTTTTCGACACCCCTCACGAGGATCGTGGCCTCCGAGGGGGGAGCCGCAATCGACTACCCCCAAGAGCCCCCCAAGAGGCCCTGGGGGCCTCCAAAACGCCGCCAAGGAGCCCCAAGAGACTCCCAAGAGGTCCCCAAGAGGCCCCCAAGAGGCCCTAAAGAGGGCTCCAGGGCCGGCGGCATGAGCGAAGCGATTAATAATGCAGGAGCTTCAACGATTGAGGGCAAGTCCTTTTTCAAAATGTGGCTCTCGCCTTAGCGCCGCTCACATTCGTTCTACAACTTCACATGAGCTTCACATATTGATGGCGGTTCTGTTTCAAAATGTGGCTCTCGTCTTAGCGCCGCGCACAGTCGTTTGAAACATGAAGCAGTGTCACTGATTGTCTTGGTTAGCGTACCAGAAGAGGCATCTTGGAACGATTCAGGACTGTCGGGGCGCAATGGTTAGTTGAATCGCGGTGTTGAAGTCCCAGAAACGGCGTTCTGACACGAGTCAGGATCGTCAAGACGCAACAGTCAGATTGACTCGTGGCGTTGAAGTCCTGAGAACAGTGTTCTGGCACGCCTTAAGATTATCACACGGTTGTCCCCCAACGGGGCACTTCCCTAAGTGGAAACGAAACATTGCAGGGGCGTATGACGAGGGAGCTTGGAGGAAGGGGGTATCTAACATCGTTGACGAGTCTTGGGTCTACACTGGTTTTCCTCCTCCTCCTCCTCCTCCTCCTCAGCCTCTTTCTCCTCCTCCTCCACTTCCGCCTCCTGCACCTCCTCCTCCTCTCACTCCGCCTCCCTCTTCCCCCCCTGCTCCCTGCCCACATTTGGCTCTGAGCAAATGGGGTCGGACGATACCGCCGCATCGACGATGTGTCGGCGACTTCGGGACGGAGAAGCTCAAACTCCAGATTGCGCCGCATCGCCGACCCCATCCACCCCGGCCCCATGTGGGAGGCCTTGAATCTGTCGTGAGGAGCTGGGTGGGGTCCCCGCACCCTTTGTTGAAGGGGCCCTGGGACACACAAATAAATAGACACAAATAAGAGGATTCACCATATTTTCCTATATTTTCTAGGGTTTTGTCTTCCCCCCCACTTCCCATATTTTCCTATCTTTTCTGGGGAATCGACGATTAATTGTGACTGTGTGTTTTTTCCCCTCCTGATTTGTGGCAGCTCGCGGGAGCCTCCCACACCATCTTGTTGGCACTTGCGAGATCGACGCTCGTCGATGCTAAATCGACGATGCTCGACGCTGATCGCATCGATCGCCAGACGCTAATCGACGCTCACGCGCCCGAAAGACGGTACAAGGCTCCCATGCTTTGCTACCCGACCCATCCACTCTGGCCCCATTTGGGAGGCCTGGAACATATCGTGAGAAACTGGACGGGGACCCCGCATCCGTCGTGTGGAAGCAAAAAGGTACTGATACCCTTAATCCACAGACCTCTCCCGAAGGGCGTTCTGACCAGAGTTCCGAGGCGCATCCAGCAGTGGCGACGAGGGCCTACCTAGATGCCCAGAAAGGAGAAAACGAGTGACGGGCAGCGGTACCAGTACCCTTTCCTCATCTGAGTGAGTCGGGCTAAGAGGGGGGCGTCCAAGAGAGAGGGGCGCAAATTATGGCCGGCGGCATGTGCGCGGCCCAAGGGGGGGCCAGGGAGTGTAACGAAATGAGAAGAGGCGCCATGAGATCTGAGGAAGCACCATGGCCCACGCCATGATGTCCACCCCCCACCCCCTGGTCCTCACCCCCCTCTTGGCCGCCATATGGGTGAGGCGTCAGGCGGGGCTCCCCCGCCCGCGGCCCCCCCCCGGCGGGTCCTGTCAGCGAAGCGGCCAGGTTCCCCAGCGACGGCCCCAGCATGTCCCTGCCCCCTCCCCCGACCCGCCGGCCCGCGCGCACGTGGCGCCTGCCTCTTCTGATCAGGCCGTCTGCGAGCCGGGCTCCGCTGCTTCGGCAGGATCGGTTCACGTCGGATCGGGAACTGAGCCTCGAGCACAGTGGTGCTGGCCTTTGCGAATCGACGCTAGTCGACACGGGTCGACGCTAATCGACGCGAAATCGACGCTAGGTCGACGCTGACAGACGCCAAATCGGCGCTATCGCATCGACTACCAGGCGCGAAGCGACGCTAGCGCAACCTAAGGACGGAATTACGCGTGCACACAAGGCTCCCATGATTTGCTACCGAGGAGATGTGATCGAATCAGAATGCGCGTCGGATCGGGCTGCGTCGGCACGTAGTCGAAGTCGAATCGGATGGACCGCGCCAGGATGCAAGCATTGAAGCGCATCGGAGCGTCGGAACGTCGAAGTCCCAGACGTGCGACGTCCTGATGCTTTTCGATGCGGGGTTCTCGAAGTCCCGACCCTTTCCCTAGGGCCAGATTTTCATCCTGGGCCGTTGTTTGACGGTCCCAGGGCCAGCGAAGCTCCCCACAGGCCGAAAGTATAAAAAAACTGTCCGTCGTGATTTTTCACGACGCCACCATGTCTGGGGTCCAGAGGGATCGAGCCAGCCGGTTTCGATATCGAGATGGACTCAGCTTCCCTCCAGATGATCGAGCCACTCGGGTCATGGTAATCATAGGATCTGAGACAAAACGGCCCCGGATTTAAGTCCCGGGATGGTTTTCTGGCAGGCTGCCAGAAAACCGTCTCGGGACTTCGGAGGAGCTGCCCAGACGGCGCGGCAGCAAAAGTGCGGGCCCAACCAGGGCTGCAGTAGGGCCAAAGAGGGCCTCGCAGGGGTTACTAGTGGCAGCCAGAGTCACGGATGCCAGGCAAGGGCAACTGATTTAGGGAATGGTGGTGACCACCGCAACTCCCGACAGGCAGGCCTGGCAGGGTCTAGACGGGAGCCCGCTGGGGATCGCTGCGGCAGCAACCACCACTTCTGCCGGCCAGGGATCGTGTCACGACAGGGGCCATCCGCCACCCTGCCAGGACATCCGGACTGTAACATGTTCAGATGCCAGGACATCCGATGTGTCAGAATCTATCTGCGCTCTCGGCGTGCATCACGTTATCCTCACTGGCCCGGATATTGTGGCAGAGTCTGTACACGAGGATCCTTGGCCACCCAACTTCTCGCGTCGGGCCCCACGGTGCACGACGCACGGTTCTCTCCGAGCCATCGCGCCGCCGCCCTGGAGAAGGGCGCCTCTCTGGCGTGGGCCGCGTCGCACGAAGCCCTGTTGCCTTCGCGCCCTTTCTGGGGTGGCCTGGGAATCTTCCCAGCCGCATACAACCACCAGATTCCCCAATAGGCTTCCTGCACACGGCGACAGGCTGGGCCCTGGGCCACCAGATAGTCTGAAAGTGCTCGCAAGGGCTGGTGGTGGCAACCGACGGCCCTGCCAGCCATGGCAAACAGGTCAGACAAGGACGGGCAAGATCGGTCACCATCGAACCGGGCATGAGATCGAATCGGAATGTGCGTCGGGTCGGGCTGCACCGGCAAGGAATCGACAACGAACCAGATCGGTTGCGGCAGGATGCACAACAGCACCATGCAAGCAACGGGCAGCATCGGATCGTCGACATACCGGAATCGAATCGGATCCAGATGGCCAGATCCAGATAGCCCGAATCGGGTCGATCTGATCGACATTGACCATGACAGGTGCTAGTGCGAGTGTGGCGGTGGCAACCGCAGATCTCACCAGTGAGGGCTAGTAGGGGCTGCAGTGGGGCAAGACAAGGGCTAGCAGGGGCCAGTGGTGGCAACCAGCATTGGCGCACACCAGAGAGACTGCTTGTGGACGCACACCGTCAACTTCTCGATAAACGCAGTCGCAACGCGCTCGTCTTCCTCTGACCACGAAGGCACATGTGCCCGCCCTTGACCTACGTGGTGGGCATCACAAACTTGTCTTAAGTTGTACGAGTTCTTGGACATCGTGCAAGAAGAGGTTCTGCCGAGTTGCAGAGTATTCGAGTCGAGTTGAAGCTAGGCACAACAATGCGACAAGCAAGGGGGCAAGGCAAAGAAGGTGAAGGCAGAGCACTTCTCCATGGAGGAGACAGCTCGGGAAAAAGACGAGACGGAGACGAGATGATGGGAAAAAATGGACAGGCAAAAAGGGATGGCGAAGTTTGCCGTTGGGATGAGGACGGAAGGGTGAGAAGAGAGGAGACGGAGACGAGATGATGGGGAGAAAGAAGGGCAAGCAAAGAGATGGCCAAGTTCGCCGTGGGGATGAGGATGGGAGGCGGGTACAGAGGGATGCCGAAGTTCGCAGCTGGGATGAGGGCGGGAGGGAGCAGATTGTCAGAAGGGGCAGCAGGACAGGCAAGGAGATGATACAAGTCATCCAAAGAGGTCGACAGGTGCGAGAGCGAGAGGAGGGCAAGAGTTAGAGCGGAATCAGCAACGGCTGCTACGAGGCAAAGTCAAGCAGCGCACCCAGCCGCCCTGCCGCCTCCTGAACAGCAGCTCGCTCACCTGCGAGGAAGCGAGGGAAGGGCCCTGCCGAGCACTGCGCGCCAGACAACCCCTCTGCCCGACTGGGGAGGCACTCGTCGAGGCCAATCCTGTACCCAGGTTATGGCCCTCATTGTCGTCTCGTGCCACACATCGAACTTCTGGCTCTATCGCGCCTCCCCCTCACGTCTTCGACCTCGTCACGCTTACAAGCGCGAGGGTATTTGGTCTAACAAGCGCTACTGGCCACATTCACCCTCCGCAAAAAGAGAAGGCGGGCAAGGATGGAGGAAGGACGGGGAGGAGGGAGAAAGGTCAATAAGGTATGAGGACAGAGGACTGAAGCGTATTTGGCACGAGCGGACCGTTGCGTTGCTTGTGCGGGAAAATCTGCCGACCCTTCGGCGAATGCGAGACGCTGGCGTCGTCGTCGTCGTCGTCGTCGCCGTCGTCGTCGTCAGACCCAACGAAATTGAGGAACAAGGCAAAGGAACGTCATAATCAAGTCGGTTCCCTTCCCTCCCGGGTGCCCGGCGGGTCGGGGGGGGTCGCCAGCGGGGGTCCGGGGGAAGTCCCGCCTTCAAGGTCGGCGGCACCCGCCGCAAAGCCTTTGCAATACCTACCCAGAGCGGCACGGCAAGCGTTGAAGAGCCTGAAGAACCATGAACCCCTCACAGCGGCCACCGCAAGAATTAGGGGATGCCTGGTTCATGCACGAGGTTAGCCACTATGTAGCACGAGAGCGGGGGCAGCGAGAAGGAATCGGAGGGCAAGTCCAAACAAAGGCAAGAACACAGCAATGGTGCCCAACAGAAATAGCACTGGCTGCGTTTGCTTTGCGACGTGCCGCTGAGTAAACAGAGGCTGTAGCCACTTGCGCACCCAGGACGATAAAGGGCAAGCCCTCGGCCCTACACCACCACGGAGAAGAACATCCTTAAGGGCGCGAGAGAGAGAGAGGAAAAAAGAGACGAAGAGAGAAACGGATATAGAAGCGAAAATATAAACGATGGGAGAAACCAAGAAAGAGAGAGAGAGAGAAAGAGGGGTAGATCAAAGAGAGAGAGAGAGAGGACTACAACATATACGATCACAGCACAAATTACGTTAAGCCTTGTCGCTCCCCGCTGCTCGCGCGCCATTCTACTTCTGCCTCCACAACCCTGTCAGTCCGCCCTCTCCGTCTCCCATCGGCGCCCCAGTTGGAGGCACATCTTCCTCGCGCGCCACGCGCGCGCACTCGGCGCGGCCCCTACAATCGGCGGAGGAGGGGAAAGGAGAAACGGGAGGGAACGAGGAAAGGAACAAGTTGAAGAGGAAATGGGACACACAAATTCGCCGGCCCAACGGGCCAGAGGCGTGCTCAGATCTCCGGTAACTACTGAACAATATTTCTAGTTCGCGCGCGGGGCGGCCCCTGGGGGGGCCCGGACGAAAAGTACCCCGGCCGATCCCCGGCTGACCCCCGGGCGATCCCCAGGGGGGGGCTATTTTTCGCCACCCCTCACGAGGATCGTGGCCTCCGAGGGGGGGGCCGCAGTCGACTACCCCCCCTCCCGCCCCAAGGGGCCCCCAAGAGTAGAGCCCCCCCAGAGGCCCCAGGGGAGCCCAATACGCCGCCAAGGAGCCCCAAGACGCTCCCAAGAAGCCCCAAAGAAGCCCCCAAGACGGCCCCAAGAAGCCCCAAATAGCGCTCCAGGACGGCGGAATGAGCGAAGCGATTAAACAAATACACACAAATAACCAGATTCCCCATATTCTCCTATATTTTCTGGGTTTTTGTCTTCCCCCCACTTCCCACATTTCCCCGTATGTTCTGGGGAATCGACGATTAATTGTGTCTGTGTGTTTTCCCCCTCCTGACAAGCGCCCCGCTCGGCCCCCCGCGTCGGGGGCATCCTGCCGCGGGGGCGCCGCGGCGCAGAGCGAGGAGCGACGGCCTCCGCGCCTGCGCCTCGGGGCCGCAGGGAGGACCGCGGGGAGCATCGCCGTCCCGGGCGTCGGGGCGGGCGGCGCGGGCGCGGCCCAGGGGCGCGGCCCAGGGGCGCGGCCCAGGGGCGCCGGGCGCGCCGTCAGGCCGCCGGGCGACGGGCCGGGCGCCCCTGGGCCGCGCCCCTGGGCCGCGCCGGGCCCTGCCATAGGCGCCAGGCTCGGCCACCGGGCGAGCGGCGCCGGGCGCAGGGCGCCGGGCCCAGGGCGCGGCCCAGGGCGCGCCGTCAGGTCACGGGGCGACGCGGGGCGCGGCGGGGCCCAGGCGGGTCGGGCGCGCCGCTCTCGGCCCCTCCCCGGGCGGGGCTCCGCCCGCGAGGGCACTGCGGTCGCTCTGCAGGGGCGCGCGTCGGCCCTTCGCCACGGGTGCGGCGGGGCAGCGGCGGCGTCTGCTTCCCCTGGGGGGCGGCCGCGGTCGCGGCGTCTGCCCCCGCGTGGCCATCGCCGCCAGCTCCTGCCGTTTGCAGGGGGCGCCCGCGATGCAAGGGGCCGGTCGGTCCCCCGCGCGGCCCCCCCCCCGGATGGACTCGAGACGCACACCGCATCGGAGGTCATCCGCGCTGCCGCTCAACCGCCCCCGCCGTTGGACGAAGGGCTGGGGGCGCCTGTCGTCCAGAAGCCCAGGGTGCGCCGCCTCGCACCTTCTCGCGCCCTGTCCAAAACATGCATTCGCTAGACTCGAAAACAAGAATCTCGGCGACCTGGGACGAGCCAGGGCGACACCGAGCGGGAAGTGAGATAGGGGTGGAGGCTGCGCCTCCAAGGACAGCCGCGGGGGCATCGGAGCGCGCGTTCCAGGAAAGTCCGCTGGCAGGGGCCTCGTCATCTCCTTGGAGGTGCCACCCCAGTCACCCCGGCCCTCGTCTCGCCGAGGGCCCTGCTGCTGCCCCGCTGAGTCGACCCCAGGCAAAAGCTGATGCCTCAAGCGCCCTGTAGTTACCAGGGTCACTTTGACGTCGGCGCCCTCGTCTCGTCGACGGCACTTCTGCTGGCCCCCAGGGTCGGACCCCGAACCATTGCCAAAGCCCCCTATCCTGCAGCAGGGCCGCCTGGACACCAGCGCCCTCGACTCGCTGGGGGCCCTGCTGTTGCCCCCCGGAGTCGGCGCCAGGTGACGCGTCAAAGCCCCCCGCATCCTGAACGAGAGCCGCTTGGAGACCCGCTGGGCTGCCAGGGCAGGAGCGAGCCGAAACCTAGGGAGTGGCGGGCACGGGCGCGCCATCGACTCCAACGCGGAGGAAGGCCGAAGCATCTCTGGCGCCTGGCTGGGCGTCGGGTTTCGGGGGCGGGCAGAATGACGACATTGGCGGGTCGAGTCCAGCACCGCCCCCCACATCGAAAGCACCGTCCAGCACGGGCAACAGGCCACCAGCGGGAGGCCTGAGATGACCGCAGTGGAGGCCGCCCACGCGCACCGCTCCGCACGCGCAGCTACCTGCGCCGGAGTCTTCGTCAAGAGCAGGCGCCGAAGCAGGCCGGCTTAAGCGGCATGGGCGCGAGACACTCACCGGGGCAGCGAAAAGCCGAGGCATCTCCAAGGACCACGCGCACGCCTACAGGACCAGGGCGGGACGAAGCCAGATCAGCCCTTCCGGGGGCGCGCTCGGGCCAGGATCTCGACGCGGATCCAACCGCGCGGCCACAGAGGAAGCGCCCCTCCCCCCCGCCCCCAGGATCCCGCCCTCCAGCCAGAGGACGCAGGTCGATCTTGTCGCCGACCTCCTGCGACTCCTCCCCCCTCCCCCGCGCTTCTCGCGCGCTGGCGGAGAGACTGCAGCTCGCGATGGCGGGCCTCAACCCCTGGCCGCCTGCAACTCGCTCAGCAACGACAGGGCCCGCTGCCAGGACTCGCCCTTCTCGCGCGCGCGCTGTTCGGGATGCCCTAGCTCAGGAGGGGAAGAAACACAAAGACACAATGAATCGTCGATCCCCAGGACAAGATTAGAAAATATGGGAAGTGGGGGGAAGACAAAAACCCAGAAAATATGGGAAAATACTGGGAATCTTTTTATTTGTGTGTATCTATTTGTGTGTTTGTGGGCCCCTTCACTAGCCCCCGATGGCGGGCTCCACCCTCGCCACCGACCTCTCGCTGCTCAGCGGCGGGCGCAGGAGAAGATGCTGGCGTCTGTGCCCCGGCTGCGCTGGGCGGGGGGGCAGACGTTGGCGCCCCCAGTTACGCTAGTAATGACTCTGGCGTCGGTGCCCCAGCTGCGCCGACGAGGACGCTGGCGTCGGTGCTCCCGTCTGTGCTTGGAAGAGCGCCGGCCTCGGAGCTGCCGGTTGCGCTGGCGAGGAAACCGGCGTCGGCGCCCCCCGCTGCGCCGCCGAGGATGCCGACACCGGCCCTCTCAGTCAAGCTAGCGAGGATGCCGGCGCTGGTGATCTAGGCTGCGCCGACGAGGATGCCGGCGTCGGTGCTCCCAGCTGTGCTGGCGAGGACGGTAGCGACGGTGATCCAGGGATGCTCGCGTCGGTGACCTCGGCTGTTCTGGCGAGGATGCTGACGACGGAGCTCGCCGCTGTGCTGGCGGGGATGCTGGCGTCGGTGATCCCAGCTGTGCTCGCGAGGATGCTGGCGTCGATGACCCACGCTGTGCCGACGAGGATGTTGGCGTCGTTGCTCTTGGCTACGGTGGCGAAGAAGATGGCGTCGGAGCTCTTGGTTGCGCTGGCGAGGATGCCTGCGTTCGTGCTCTCGGCTTGGCAGGCGAGGTTGGCATCGGTGATGAGGCTGTGCTGACGGGGGCATGGGAGCTGGCGCTGTCGCCTGCGTTTGCGAAGATGCCGCCGTCGGTGCCGCTGGCTGCGCCAGCGAAGATGCTGCCGTTAGTGCTCCAAGCTGCGCTGGCGAAGATGCCGGCGCCAGTCCCCCTGGCTGCGCCGGCGCCAGTGCCCCCGATTGTGCTGGCGACGATGCTGGCGTCAGTAATCCAGGCTGTGCTGGCGAGGATGCTGGCGGCATTGATCCAGGCTGTGCTGACGAGGGGGCTGACGTAGGTGACCCCCGCTGGGCTGGCGGGGATTCTTGCGTCGGCGCCCCCAGCTGCGCTCGCGAGGATGCTGGCATCGGCGCGGCCAGGCTGTGCTGACAAAGATGGTGGCGTCGGTGCCGCCAGCAGTGCTTGCGAGAATGCGAGCGTCGGTGGTCTCGCCTGCGCTGGCGACGACTCTGGCGTCGACCCTCCTGGCTGAGCGTCGGGGATCTTCTGACCCAGGTCAATCCAGACCCGGGTCAGCAGGAAACCCAAAACTGCAATGCAAGAAAAAAAAGACTGCACCGCAGGTCTTCGCAAACCCGGGTCAGCCAATATGCGCGGCCGCCTCGCGGCCACGAGCGGCTCGCTAACCCAGGTCAGCCAGAGGGGGTCTTCGCAGGATCCTGCAGGATCTGGTGCCCTGGCTGACCCCCATTTGCATTGACCCCCGTCTCAAGGCTCCCGAGAGCGGGCGAAGATGCTGGCGCCGGTGGCCCTAGGTGCGCGGGCGAGGATGCAGGCGCTGCTGATCCAGGCCGAGCTGGCGAGGCTGCTGCGCCCCCGACTGTGCTGGCAACGATGCTGGCGCCAGTGCGCCCAAGTGTGCGGGCGAGGACGCTGACGACGGAGGTCCCAACTGTGCTGGCTGGAGTGCTGGGGTCGGTGACCCAAACTGTGTTGCCGAGTGTGCTGGCGTCGGTCTCGCTTGACCTGGCGAGGATGCTGACGCGTGTGCTTTCCGCTGTGCTGGCAGAGAGGGTGGCGTCGGTGCTCCGCGATGCGCAGGCGAGGATGCAATCGCAGGCGATCCAGGCTGAACTGACGAGGCTGCTGGCGTCGGTGCTTTCGGCTGAGCTGGCGGGGACGCTGTCGTCGGCGCTCCTGGCTGCGTTGGCGAGGAAGCTGGCGTCAGCGGCCCATGCTGCGCTGGAGACGAGGAAGGCGTCGGGGGACCACCATGGTCGTGGTCGTGGTCGTGGTCGTGGTCGTCGTGGTCGCCGTCGTCGTCGACGTCGGTGCCCACCTCCTCCTCCACAATCTCCCGCACGACCTCCTGCAACTCCTCCGCCTCGTCCGCCGCCCCCTGCCCTCGCCCTCCTTCGGCGGCCCGCTAAGCGCCGAGCCGCCTGGCAGCGGCGCCTCCACAGAGGCCACTGCGGCGTCCCAGGCCGCCTCGGCGACGCGGGCGGCGGCAGCGGCCCCGGCAGCAGGACGGGCGTCGCCGCCAGCGGCGGCACACGCCGCCGCGGCGGCGGCCCATGCCGCCTCGCGAGGAGCAGCGGCGGCAGCGGCAGCAGCAGCAGCCGCCGCGCCAGGCGAAGCGCGCCCGACCGCCCAGGGCGCCGCTGGGCCACGGTCGGCCCGCGGCGGGGGGCCAGCAGCAGCGCCCGAGCGGCCGCTGCGCGTCGCCGCCGCCAGCAAGGCGTCGGCAGCAGCAGCTGCAGCGCCAGACAGCAGCAGCACGCCGCCAGCGCCGGCCGCCGCCAGGGAGCTGGCGGCGGCACCCTGCCACCGCAGGCAAGCAGGAGGTCGGGGCCGACCTCCTACCCCGCGGCAGCGGCTGCTGCGGCCCGCTCTAGTAGGATCGGGTTGAGCCAAAGGCTACGAGCCCCAGATCTAGAAACAACTGTGCAAAATAAAACAATATCAGAAAACAGGCTGCGAGAGCACAATTCTTGGACGTCAAGAGCGCAGCGCTTTAGTACATTGCTAAGAAATCCCAGGCGAGACCGCGATCCCCATGCTCATCGAAGGGACAGAACAAGCGAAAACGCGAATCCTCAATGACACCCTGGTGGCAGAACACCCTGAACAGTTTTCCACACGGGTCCGAAGTTCACTTCCTGGCCATTACTCGTACTGCTTCCAACTACTAGCCGTACCAGCATAGTATCTACGAAAACGAATGCAATACACGAGCACACATACAGATGCTTCGACACCAACGAATTAGAGGGATACGAACAATAATCTTCGAATACGAATGCGAATGCGCATTCTGGCTCTACGATTACAGCGAACAGTTCATACTACGACTACGAATACTGCTAACATGGATACGAATCGTGATAATCGCTCGGGTGCGGATGACATTATCAACAAACCAATATTGATACTAAGATTGCCACTGACACTAACACAAATACGAATACCGAAGCCAACGGGAGGCCACGGGAGACAACGGCTGACCACGACGCCCGACCGAGTCCGGACCTACTACCTGACTTTTTGGAAGAACAGAAAATCAAACCCAAAGCCATTACCGACAAGCTTCTTCGGAAGTGATTTGCGAGGAAGTCTGAAGACTCCCCCTGAGTTAACGACCGAAAGTGTAGGCGTGCGCACCAGTTACACGAATCGAACAGTCCTTTACCGGAACGGGGATCTCGCTGAACACCTCGCTTAGCTTTATATGACACTCCGATTTCGCACTCCTCGCGCAGAAAAGATGCGCCGCACTTCTTTGTCAGAACGGGACCCTCGCCTGAACGGCCTGACCAAAGGATGCTGGGCTTTCAGCTGGGCGCTTCCTGTAATGAGAGAAAAAAAGGCTTACAACGACCTATGGGGAGGGGATGTGAGATGGAAGGGTGTATCGCAGCATCGCTGATGCATCTTGGGTTTGCCGTGGTCTTCCTACTCTCCTCCCCGCGAAGAGAAAGCACAACACAATGTATCGGAGGCCTGCGCGAATTTGTCTTGGATCGGCACCGGACCGCAGGGGGCGGCGCCAGAGGAGCCGCCAGGGTGGCCCAACGCCGATCCAAGACATCAGCACGGACCTCCGAGAAAGTATGCTTGTGCAAATTGTTGTTCTTAGAGCCTCCCCCTCGTCCTTCCCCTGCTGCTGCCCACAGCGTTCGAGACGCGACGTCGCGCCATCATAGATGCCATCCACGCATGCATGCATCCCCGGGCATGGAGGAGGAGGAGGAAGGGGAGGTGAAGAGGAAAGACAGGACCCCACTACCCCATCTCCTGGAGGTAGGTGTCGGACACGACGTGGCGATCCTCTCCTCCTCCTCCTCCTCATCCTCCTCCTCCTCCTCCTCCTCCTCCTCCTGACTCGTACTACCCCCCTCCTCCAGCGTCTGCTCGAGCCTTCGCCGGCGCCGCGCCACATGCCGCCCCCGGCCCAGAGGCACTGCTCGAAGCCATAGCGCCCTGCCACTTGGCGCACCTCCACTCCAACACTGTCCTCGTCGTCGTCGGCAGTCGTCGTCGATCGTCGCCGTCGCCATCGTCGTCGTGGTCGTCGTCGTCAAGGGTTCCGAGGCAATACCTTGAGTGCCACCAAGGCCGCCCGAACATTAACCTGACGTATCAGCCGTGGAACTGCCACATCAGGGCCAGAATGAGTCAGGTATACAATGACTTGGGCCTTCAGGGCAACACCTGGCCACACCCTTTGTCCGATCTCGATCGTCGTCGTCGATCGTTCGAGGATCGCGCAAGGGCAACTGTTCCCCATGTCGGACCCTGGATCATGAAAGATGGATCAGGGATGAGAAACTCTCCCAAGGGGACTGGATCGGGACTTCTGGAGCCGTCGTTATCATCATCACCATCAGCAGCAGCACCATCATCATCACCATCACTATCAGCAGCAGCATCCTCATCACCATCATGAGCATCAGCAGCAGCAGCAGCATCATCATCATTATTAATCATCAGCAGTAGCAGCAGCATCAGCATCAGCATCAGTATCATCATCAGCATCATTATCAGCATCACCATCATCAGCATCATCGTTGTCGACATCAGCATCGTCCTCCTCCTCCTCCTCCTCCTCCCAACCTTGCCGACGGCACGCGGCCAGCTCGTGAACGGCAGGCGATCCAAGGCGAGGCAGGAGGTTGGGCGCACGCCCACGCCCAGCGGTCTTGTGCGCACGTGCGACGGGCAGCCCGCCGAGCTGCGAGCGTGGATGGCGAAAGCACCGTGGCGCAGAGAACAGAGGCCGTAATCGGGGCCAGTGACCCCCTCTGCTGGTCGCGGTGGCGGCATGCCGCAAAGCCAGTAGCAGGAAACATCGCTTCAAGCTTGAGCTTCCTCAAACAATGTGATGATGCATTGTGGCTCAGGCTTTCTCGGGAAGCCCGAGTTGCTCAGGTAGAGGATGTTTCCTCAAACACTTCTCATTGAGGAAGCTTCCTCGGGCTTCCCCAAGTAGACCTGTGTGAGGTAGCCTGAGCTGCTCGAGTGTCCTCAAGCATTGTCTTAATGAGCGCCCTCCAGCCTGCCGCTAACTGAGCGGCTGAGCGCTCGCAGAACTGGTGAAGCAAGGATCTCTTGGGGTGCTTCACGCCTTGGGCACGCAAGCGTGCTCCAGACTGCAGTGGGCGCTTGACACGTTTTACATGCCCCTGCTCACGTCCCGACCCCAAGGTGGGGCCAGAGCGGGGACATGGATAACATCCTGGCGTCCGAGGCCTCGCTTCTACATTCATACCCTGCTGCACCTGGCGCACAGAGTGGGGATCACAGGGGGGTTATGGATCGAACGTCGATCGCCGATGCAGTGCCGCCTCCAACCGAGCCTGGAGTCACCCGCTCAGGCTCGGCCTCGTCATCCCAGCCAGGGAAGGGACCACGTAGAGGATGTTCTGTCTCCTGCCGGAAGAGATCGGCATTGGCCTCCTGGCTGTCTGGCAGTGGGGCTCCGGGGGCGGGAAAGTCCCAGACCGAGCATCCACCGCACACTCCACACCCGCACGCACCCACGCACGCACGCACGCACGCACGCACGCACACACACACACACACACACACACACACATGCATGCATCCCCCCCACCCCAGATGTTCTGATTCATGGCCAGAAGGCTTCAACTCAAAGAACGTTGCACAGAACGAAGCGTTGTCGTACTGCTGAGTGCGCATGGGCTGGTCTCGGAGCTGCATGTCAAGTATGGGTCCCAGCACCGCCCCTGCAACGCCACGGAACAACGCTCCAAGCCTGGACAGGCAAGTAGTCCTCGAGAGGGCGAGTGGGCGAGGTGGACCCAGCGCCGACAGAAGAAATCCACGCGGACGTCCAAAAATGCATGTTTGTGCGCTTCTTTCCCCCGGAAGTCTTGCCTAAAGAATTCTTGCATGCCTCTGAAGCACCAGCGGGTGCGAGGCCTGGGCCGACTGGCCTTCCTCGGTGCCGTCCGGCTGCACGGCCACTCTCGGGCTGTCTGGCCTGCCTCGGGCTGCCCAGCTGCCGGACCTTCCGCGGCCTGCCCACTTGCTCGGTTGCCCACTGACCCGCTTGCCTGGCGCCTCGTTGCCCGGGCTGCCCGGGTTGCCCTGTTGCACGGTTGCTTGGGTGCATGGTTGCCCGGGTTGCCCAGCAACCCGAATGCCCAGCAATGCAATGCTGGGCAATGGAATGCAAAGGGAAGCCATGCCAGGCAAAGCAACGCCGAGCACTGAAGAGCAAAGCAATGCAAAGAACTGCAAAGCAAAGCACCGCAGAGCAACGACAAAAAATGGAAAGCAATAACAAGGAACGACACAAGCACTGAAAAGAGAATGCCAGGCAACGCCAAGCAATGCTCAACTTTGCCTACCATAGCCTAGCAACGCCAATCAACGCCAAACAATGCCAAGCAAAGCGAAGCAATGCCAAGCAATGAAAGGCAATGGCAGGCAATGGAAAGCAACTCAAACGAATATATTACAAGGCAAAGCAAGACCATGCCAAGCCAAGCCAAGCATGCCAACCAAGGCCAAGCAGTGCAGAGCTAGGCAAAGTAACGCAGAGCAGTGCCAAGCAGTGCCAGGCAACACCAGGCAATGCCAAGCGATGCAATGCCAAGTAGAACTACTTACTTGTGAATATTTCCCCGAATTGAAGTCGCACTGGGCTCACTGTTTCGAATCCACGCGGCCAATACGTTGGATCCATCAGAGGGGCCCTCCCGACCCCCCTGGCTCTGGACACCCCGCCCAACCAGGCTCCAGCCAAGAGGCGCTAGGCCCTCCTCCTCCGCCGCCTTCACATCCTCCCCCTCCTCGTCCTCCTCATCCTCGTTGTCCTCCCCATCCTTGTCTTCCTTCTTCTCCCTTTGTTCCCCCTCGACCCCCCCTCTCCTCCTCCTCCTCCTCCTCCTCCTCCTCCTCCTCCTCCTCCTCCTCCTCCTCCTCCTCCTCC